TCCTAGTGCCAAACAAGACAACTAAGTTGCATGATAGCAATCAGTGGAATCGTCAACATAGGGCCATAACCTGAGAGAATCGGGAAGCGCCAAGTGTCCAATTAGGATGGCTCAGGGGCCAACTATAACGTAACCGGTAAGCGAGTCGGCCACGTAAGCGAGTCGGCCACCTCTCGAATTCCCGAACGCGTCAGGAGACTGCAGCAATTCAAACCACCACCATGCCACCAAAAGCGCGTACAAATTCAAGAGATACAATTGAAAAGGAAGGACGGATCCTACTTGCAATTTCTGCTCTTAAGAAACAAGAAATTAGCAATATTCGTGAGGCTGCGCGTGTATATAATATACCCCGCTCAACACTTCAAGACCGGCTACGTGGGAAGACCTTTCGCAATGAAGCACGCGCCAACTCTCATAAGCTGACTCAAAGTGAAGAGGAGTCGCTTGTACGATGGATTCTCTCTATGGATCAGCGTGGTGCAGCTCCCCGGCCATCTCACGTACGAGAAATGGCTAATATCTTGCTTGCAAAGCGTGGCACAACTCCTATTCAAGCTGTTGGAGAGAAATGGGTGTACAACTTTATTAAACGCCGGGATGAACTCAAAACTCGATTCTCTCGCTGGTATAATCATCAGCGCGCGAAGTGTGAGGATCCTAAGGTAATTACTGAGTGGTTCAACCGTGTACAGGTTACTAGGATGCAGTATGGGATTGCTGATGAGGATATCTATAACTTTGATGAGACTGGCTTTGCTATGGGCCTTGTGGCTACTGCAAAAGTAGTAACAAGAGCAGAGATGGTTGGCCGGCCATTTCTTGTACAGCCAGGCAATCGTGAATGGGTCACATCTATTGAGTGTGTCAACTGTACAGGATGGGCACTTCCACCATGCATTATCTTCAAAGGAAAGGTCCATATTGAGGGATGGTATGAAGATAATGCCTTACCACACGACTGGAGGATCGAAGTCAGTGCAAATGGCTGGATAACTGATGAAATTGGACTGCGTTAGCTTCAAAAGCTCTTTATTCCAGCAACTAATAGCCGTACAACTGGCAAATATCGGCTGTTGGTTCTTGATGGCCATGGAAGCCATCTAACACCACAATTTAACCAGATATGCATGGAGCATGATATTATACTAATCTGCATGCCAGCGCACTCATCACATCTCTTGCAGCCTCTTGATGTTGGGTGTTTTGCGCCCTTAAAGCGTGCGTACGGCCGCCTGGTTGAAAACAAGATGCGGCTTGGTTTCAATCATATTGACAAATTTGACTTTCTTGAGGCCTATCCCAACGCGCGTACAGAAGTCTTCAGGCTAGAGAATATTCAAAATGGCTTTGCAGCAGCTGGATTGGTCCCTTTACACCCAGAACGTGTGCTATCACAGCTGCATATACAGCTAAAGACCCCTACACCACCCCCAAGTCGATCAACAACTTCCGTACCAAAAACACCATACAATCTCAAGCAGTTGAATAAGCAGGCATCTATAATAAAGAAGCTATTGCGACATCATACACAGAGTCCTCCCAGTCCAACAAACAGGGCATTGAATCAGCTTGTAAAAGGGTTTGAAATAGCCCTTAATGGGGCTGCTATTCTTGCAAAGGAAAACCAGGATCTACGGGCTGCACATGAGAAAGAGCTTCAAAAGAGAAAACGGTCCAAAGCGCAGATTGCTTCTGCAGAGGGCCTTTCAATTGAAGAAGGCCATACACTTGTACAGAGCAGGAATCAGGTCGAAGAGGCTATACAGACTGGACCTACACTACAGGAACCGAACGCACCAGACACATTGCAGCGCCGCGTACGAGCGCCCCCACGCTGCAGTGACTGTCATATTATCGGGCATAAAAGATTGCAGTGTCCTAATCGTGGTCATAATTAGTTTTTATATAGAAATGCATGTTTTGTTGTATTAAAATGCCTTTTCTTTAAGAAGATGGTCTGAATCGGTTGGGAGGTGGCCGACTCGCTTACGTGGCCGACTCGCTTACCGGTTACGTTATATAGGCTGACTAAGTCGGGACGCTAAACCTAAACGGGATGGAATCCTGACAGTTCTGACTTGAGAAGTTTTTCGATGGCACGTGCTGCAGATCCCCAAGATGCTCGAACTGTCGGGATCATTACCAAGTGCGACGCTCTAGAACCAGGTGATGAGGATGGGGTACGTCTTTCATCTTTAGTTGGAGGAAGTTGTCAACTGACAAAACGCGCCAGGTGCTCAGAATTGCTAGAAACGAGGTTGAACGGCTCAACCATGGATGGTACGTGGTTAAGAATCGCTCGACAAGGGAGATTCGCGACGGTGTCACTATTGAAGAACGCCATATTCGCGAGAGAGAGTTCTTTGCCTCCACAGCGCCCTGGACTGATCTTCCTAGAGATCATGTTGGCATAGAAAATGTCAAGCGCTTTCTTGCGGGGCTACTTTACCGCCACATTCAACTCGAGTTCCCTTCATTGGTCAAGGAGATCGAGGACCTCACTCAAGAAACGCAAAATCAGCTCGAAATGCTTGGGCCTTCCCGCCAAACATCAATAGACCAACGCAGAGTGTTACTGCGTATTGCTCTGTCATACCAAGATGACGTGACCCAGGCACTCAGATCCTTGGAACCAACTTGCTTTGGAGTACTACAACTGAGTTCGCGCGGCCATAGCCGCCTTTAACGACGGAGTCTTTGGGTTGATCGTACCCGACGAAGATTTGAGGCGGAACCTCAGGGCTCGTCTCCAACGACTTGAAACATCAGCTTTTCGAACGGCCGAGGAATACCTAAGCCAGCTTCTCCGGGATGAAAGAGAGGGCATATTGCAGACTGTGAATAATTATTTTGCAGAAAATATTGCCTCTATTAGGGAAGAGCGAATGCGCGCCAGACTGGGGTCATTAGGAATCCAAGATAACCATCAGCAATTGGTTAATATCAAACAGCTGATGGGTGGCATTCATCTGAGTAATGACGATCAAGCGATCTACGATAGTCACGATACTCTCAAAGCCTTCTACAAGGTTGCTTTGAAACGATTCACAGATAATGTGATTGTTCAAGTCACAGAACGCCATCTTCTTGGTCCACGAGGGCCTGTCAAACTCCTATCTCCGGAGTTGATTGGCGAACTTTCTGATGGTGAGCTAGCTGATATTGCAAGCGAGAACTTTGCAACATCTTCCGCCAGAACTGAGCTACAGGCTCGAATGGATAGGCTTCATCGAGCTTTAGATATCGCCAGGCAAGCTGGTATCTGATTGCTGCCCGTCTGACTCGAAGAGCTCGTTATCCATGGTGATTCAACATCATCCCCGTGTCTTGCTCTGGTTTACTTCTCTACTTCTCATTATCTGTGGTGATCCAACTTCACCCTCACATTTCATTTTCTCTGGCTCCTATTATCTGCAGATGACCCAATATCAGCTCTGCGTTTGGCTCTTGTTGGCTTGTCTTTACCTGTGATAATTCAACATTGTCTCTATAGCTCGCAATGGACTCTGTTTGACTTTGCTTAGATACTTTAAATCACGTCAGTTTTTCCGGGAACGCTCTGATTTGGCGACTACATAGTTCGCGCCTTAGACAAAATCAGAGCATCCTTGAAGTCACCCAAGCAATAACATATAAAGGCGTCCTCGAAGGCATAAGAATGATCGATTGTGCGTAAGTCCATCCATATCAATTTTCGTCCTCGAAAAATGGAGGGCAGAAAAGTTATCATTGCTGACTTTGCGTTGCTGTAATCAGGACCAGACCTTATGGCTCAAGGGACACTGGCTCATCGCGCGCCATCGAGTAGGACATCGAGCTGGCCATGTATGCGTTGGAAGTGGGAATAATCCTGTAGCATGCTACCGACCCCTGTCTAGGCTCAAAAATGTTGACGTGGCATTACAGAGTCCATTTTCGCGCCTTTCTTACCTTGCGTGATTGGTTGGTCTAACAATCACAATAGACCGCCCAAGTCAAGTAAACCAAGGAGTTGTATCGGTTGATCCTTGACAGTTGAACATGCGGAAAAGGTCTCAACCGAGAAGGTGATCTGGATACAGCGTGTCTGCTGAAAAGTCAACGATAACGAGCTTTTCTTGTGAAAAATTACGGCCGCAGAATAAGCCAATAATAGTATCTGGATGATGCGTGACTTGAGATGCATGTGTCGGCGCTTAGAAGTGATTAGCGAACTTGCGTTTAATATGAGAAGTTCCTGTACCTATCCCTGCAGATTCCACGAATTGCCGCAGCACCGACGGTCGTGGAATGGGAGGAGCAAACTGAATGTAAACGACTGTCTGCCTGAGAAAGATAAGGCTATTCTATATTCTATTGAATACCGCCCGAAGTTGATGCTCTGGTCACTTGTGACCTACCATTAGCACAGCACAATCAAGGGGCATCTCCTGCTCGCCTGACCGGGGAAAGTATGAATTCACTTGGACAATCAAGGACTATCCAATCACAAGTTATACGCGTGACTCAATGACTGAGCCCTCTAGAGTGTCTGCCCTTATCTGGGCGGAGAATATCGCCCTTCTCTCCTTGCTTCATTCTGTGCCTAATTCAACTCCTGTCCAAGCAGTCCCTACTCCTCCATCAAGAAATCCACTGCCTGTGTACCCGCAGAGCTGCCTGACTAGTTATCCGCTGTCTTTTGAGAGAGAGAAAGGTCTGGCTGCTACGTTTGCGTTTCTCGCACAAACCGAAGATGATCCGAATCACATACCCGCTGTTTGTGTCGAACAAGATACGAGTTCCGGATCTCTGAATATCATCCTTGCTATCAACAAAACCAAGAAAGCTGATGGCAGCGTCATCCTCAATGACCTGAAAGGGGGATTCGAGAAAATATTTGCAATTCTCAGAAGAGTATCAGAGAGTTCGTGCCCCGAAACGGTGCATAACTACCTAGCTAACCCAGAAAAAGATGGGGAGAAACCCTCAAATATTGAAAAGAACGTCTTCGCTGCTATTGTATCAATGTGTTCCACCCGCATACTTCAGCGACTTCGATTAATACCTACCAAACGAAAGCCCAAGAAGAAGTCATTCAAAGCCATTTTGCAGGAAGCGATAGAACTTGTCAGAGGGATTGATTCCAGGAGGCTTACAGAAACGAATTTGTCATCAGTCGCGAACCTCTTTGTAACAATGTCGAGAGATATGGTGCGTTTGACTGATTCATGGTTTCGACACCAAACTGTGACTCAGTTAATGGACTTGGTGGAGGGAATCAACCGGTTGGGACAAGTCGAACACCTCATCGCTCTGCTGGGCCTAATTTCTAACCGAATGCTGGATCCATCAGCAAAATCCACTATAATGAACATAATCGGCAAGGTGTCGAGATACCGGGAAGCAGCTAGGCTGCTCTATCGTACGTCGAGAAAGTTGGCCATAGCTCGGCGAATGAGGATAGTCCTCGTTGACCTTCCTCACACAGCCTTTCCTACCCTTCCAGCCCGTGCGTTCTCTTGCAACCTTACCTCCACGTTATCACGCATCGATCGCGCTTACGGCAAGCCGGAAAGTCTTCGGCGGATATTCACTATTCTTAAAACGACCGAGCAAGAAGCCACAGGCCGATTTCTGGTGCAGTGGCAGAGGATCTTAGAAGAAGGCAAGATCCACGCTGAGGTCCAGCTGATCGCTTATTGCGAGCTGCAGACGCAAAGATTGCCGCCACGAGTGATATGCTCCAGCAAAAAGGCCTGTTTGCTATGTAATCTCTTCATCCTGACGTACGGCAAGATCTATACACCTGGATCTCACGGAAGATTATACCCGGGCTGGCGGCTGCCCCTTTTCCCACCTCTGAACAAAGCGAAAGAGAATTTCAATGAGGCGCTTGAGGCCTACATAAGGCAGAGCCTTTCTACGCTCTTCTCAAGACAGCAACAGACTACCTACCCATGTCCTAATGAAAGCACGTTACTTACTTTACCAGTATCCGTGAGCACACAGTTGACCACCTCACAATGCCAAATAGATAGGGCTGAAGTGCAGCCAGCGTCACTTGGATCAGAAGAAGGGATTCGCCTGCCCCCACTGACAAGGGCTGAAGCATCCATGACATCACATCAGCAGACAATCGAATTGAAAGCATCTGTACTTACAGCACATAATATTGCTGTTTCCTGGAGAGATTCCCAACTGACACTTCCCGCGTTTACTGGGTCCGAAAGGGCAAGATCTGAAACTCTGAGCACCAAGGATTGTGACACGCGCAATTTGTCTCAAGGTCTCCCTGCGTATGGCACTGTCTGTTCAAATAGAGTGTCCCCGTTCTACGTTGCGGGCTGTCTAGAAGTCCAGGTCGAGGTTCCTACTGGATTAAAAAGCCTAGCTTACTGTATTGAATGGCTGACGGATGATGAAGCCAATATAGTAAGGCAAGGGCAGCATTCTATCCCTCTGATTGATGCACAGGCGTTGATGACTGAAATCTCCCTCCATGATCACAACAGCTTTCTCATTACGGCTAAAGGGACAATAGCAAGGGTCAAGCTGTCCTGCTACAGATCTTAGTTTTACTATCACTGGCGTCATCTGAAGTTCTTTAATTAATGGGCATGGGACACAAATGGAGCGAATATGAAGGATGAAGAAATGCTAGGAAGACTTGCCTATACAGATTGGGGTTGACACAGCTTTCCCATCCCAAGTAATGGACTCATCAGAAAGATGTCTGTTAAGCTTCCGTACCAAGAGACCACGCATAATGTTACGACGAGGCAAACGCAAGTGAGATCCGAGCTGGATCCCAGGGGTGTCCAGTTAGCTACTGCTACAGCGACAGAAGAAATCGCCAAAGAAAAGGGATAAATACTAAAATGCATTCTGAACCTAGGATGGGAAATCCGGTCTATACTATATGGAGGATGGTGGTAACGCGGGGAGACGAAGCTGAGAATGCAAGCCGATGTCCTACGTTTTACTAACGCTACGTGTCATATGCCGTTTCTTTAGAGACGAATTTACTATGTTTTGTTTAGAAGCGTCTGGATTCCGATCTTGGGAAAAGGAAAGGCCTTACATAAATTACACAGTTTCGTGGAATGCTGGCAAGCGTATACAGAAGAACGAGAAGACGACTCTACCACTATGATATCACTTGAATGAGAGACTACTAGATGCCTGATAGGGATAATTGCCATACTCTTTGCTAAATTCGTATTTACTCTGCCATCGGATTTTGCATTGGGACAGTCAACCTGTCCATCCTTCCAGAAATCGTTGGAAGCCAGAGTCTGGCTGTAGGGTAGACACATTCCACGCTACATATGCTCGAAGCAAGTGATGCAAGCTGTCTACATTTTCAGTACCTCCGTCAAACACAAAATGTAGCAGCTCCACAATGCTGTAGATGCGCTCTTCAGAACGAGTAAAGCATGCCAATGCGATTGTTAAACGTTGGAGGGCCGCTGCACATAAGGATGCCCAGCCTGATTTTAGAGCTAATCGGTAGAGGCGAGCATGACTCAGGAGTACGTCGTTGCAAACTTCATCCTGGTGTATGTTGGGTAGAGTATCATCGCAGGAAACGCCGAGTTCGATGTCTCCCCGTGAGAATGGCGGAAATTGTTGTACCGAACTAGGAGGGTAATTGTGTGCCATGAAAATGTCTGAATATGGCCACATGACTGTTCCTGATGTTGACGTCTTCGCATAGCCAGTGACCGTTGCCAAGAATGGTTCAGGCACAAAAAAATTGCCTGTGTATACAAACTCACAGCAGAGCTCAAAAGTGAGCTCGTCCATCCAACCCAGAAGCACAAAGGTATTCTTCTCTTTATTTTTAGACGCCTTGATAGACTGCCTGATAGCCAGTGGAAAAGCCCGAAGCGCTCCTGAATGAACAAAAAATGGTAAATCACCGTCATCTATATAAATGGTCACCATGTCCGTATGCACAATACTGGATATGGGTCCCTTAGCATCCGTTAATTTGATGAAGAGGCATAAGACTTACCTTTCCCAGGTTGCCCCCATTCCGCAGCGCGAAGAAAAAATTAACTTTATGGTCTGGGTCTACGATCTAGGAGATCGAATCGTCTTTTTAAAGGTTTAATACCATACTCTTTGCCACGAGGTCGTGTCCTGATGCTGAGTGACCCCGCGCAAGTTCCGGCGTGGGCCGTTATCTGAGCACTATTAGTCCCGAACGTGGAATGATTGCTTTTCTCCAGAGGACCTGACAGCAAATTAATATTTGTTGGAATTGGCTAGATGTAATATCCTAGTTTCACAAGCCACGATTGAGCCCACCTATTATGTTATCCTTCTGGTAAATCAAGCCAAAGTGGTCGTTGTGTGCTCTGGGGTCCTGAAGCTTCTCATGGAGCGGAGGGATTGAAAGGTTTGGAAGACACCTGCTTGATACTCGTTAGTTGCTATATTGAGTTCTTTGGCCTGTTACTTAATCAACCATGAACTAATCAATACAGGCTTTGCTTTAGTAGTAAAACTCGCCCCGAAGCAGCTGCTCGTAAATGGCAGGTCCAGTCTATCCTTCAATGACCACACAGCAATCCTAGCACGTTGATGTGCTGTACAGTCCTGCTGATGATTCCTTGACAAGTCGAGATGAGAAACTAGCCACTGATTCTCTCTAGATCGCCAGGTCCCACTTTCCCAGTAGATGAATTGCTGGCCTTGTGCGAAACCATATGGAAGCCAGCCTTTATTTCCATCTCATGTTCTCTCTTCACCCTCTCTAGCTTTCCAAACTTGTATATTATTGTCAAGCTCAAGGAGACTGCCGTAGACATCCCGGTGACGACAACCGTCACAACAGCCATTATTGACCATTCACCATTTTGCGCTGTATACACATTGACGAAACTGGTGAGTAGCCCAGCTATCGCATTCAGGAGGACTGGTCTATCAAACGATCAGCATCTGAATTAACAAGAGATACTAAGACTGACATAAACAACTGGTTTACGAGCCATATGTAATTCTCCCTCCGCTCCCAGGTGAGCCAAGAAATCATTACTGAGCCCAAAACCATCAAAAAGCAAGCAATAGCAAGGAGGGGCGGATTCTGGATTGTACTGAGGATGGCTTTTCCGGTGCGGTTTGTTTCCAGACCTTGCGTGAGAAAGTCGGACTTCTGAAGAGAAGTAAATGTTCCTGGAATAACCAGATATCCAGCAAGCAGTGCCCAGTGCGCAGCGCTAGCTGAGGTGTTGTAGAACCATGGAATATAGTCAAGCTCGAGAAGCATGCGCACATAACGAGTCTCAATGACTGAAGCACTTTCAGCCTCGGGCAGGTTTGTTTCAAGATCGTCAAATGGCTGTGTTTGACCCATACTGGCCTGTAATGAGCAATAGTGGTAGAACCTGTGTGCAGTATCTGATCTTCTTATATGTTGGTGGATAGGGAGGACGGTCATGACTCCGAAATAGGCGTGCAGCCTTCTTTATTGTGCGTGTTTCACCCAAGGTGACCTGTAATATTCTGCTATGGGTACGATATCATAATCTAGAGATTGCTTCTACCGGGAATTACCTGATTTCCTCTCCTTCGAGAGATCTATACACTCTATTGACTCAGTCGATCGTGCTTCTCAGAGTACACATACACTCGGGCCCACAAGTTTCCGTACCACAACGCGTCTCATACACACGCGTTTTTCAACCCAGCATCTTTTTCTACCATGGAACCATGCAACGCACGCCTCTAAAAGAAATTGACCCTAATAAAGGGCGTGGAGATGAGCTAAGTCCATATTGCCGCGGAATTATTAAAGGTTTGAACGTTGGGGGGCATGGATATCGTCATATCAGTCAAACCCTTGAAATTCCGCGATCCACAGTCCAGTATACCCTCCAGAAGAACCCCCTTCGTGAGCAAGGTGCAACCCTTGCTCGCTCTGGCCGACCTACTAGGCTATCTAGCAGAGATGAGCAATCAATTCTACGCGCGATTCATCCCAATCCATTTATATCTTACAAAGATATCCGCGAAAAGACAGGAGTGAACGCGTCAAACAGCACCATCCTCCGATGCATCCAGAAATCAGGCTATGGACACTGGCGAGCAAAGAAACGACCTCGATTGACTGAAGAAGCAGCCAAAATACGTCTAGAATGGGCTAAAGCGCGGGAGAATTGGGGTGCGGAGGAGTTTCATAGGATTATCTGGAGCGACGAATGTTCTATTGAACTTGGCCGCGGGAGGCAACATAAATGGGTCTGGCGATTGAATCAGCTTGGAGAGAAGTGGAAAAAGGAGCATATCATCACATACAAGAAGTCCAAGGTATCTCTATCATGATTTGGGGTGCCATTTGGGGTGGTGGTCATTCAGATATCAATCGAATGACTAGAGATGAGAATTCTCATCGAAATGAGTACTCCGCGGCCTCCTATCTCAAGATTTTGGAGGAGAATATCTTCGCTATCTATTCTCCAGAGATGTCTTTTATGCAAGATAACGCCCCTATCCATACAGCTTGGATAGTTAAGAAATGCTTCAAGGATAATGGTATCTCTACCATTGACTGGCCGCCATACTCAACTGATCTCAAACCGATTGAGCACGCCTGGGCTAAGCTCAAGGAGATGATCTACCGGCTAGATCCAGATATAGAAAACTATCAAGGCACCATTGAAGATATAAAAGATCACTTTAGCGATCTTATCGAGAGAGCGTGGGAGGCGTTAGGCCAGGAGTATTTTGATGCATTGATTTCATCCATGCCGCGGCGTGTGAAGGCTGTCATTGAGGCTAATGGTTGGTATCCGTATACCAAATATTAGGTGGAAATACTATGCTTTTTGAAATCTACAGTTATTTTTCTATAGAATCATACCTTTGCATATAATTTTATGAGTATGTATATGGTATGGTGGAAGAATTAATTTTCTCGAGAGAAATATATATTTTCAATTTTGGTGGGGGGTACGGACACTTTTGACGTAGAACTGTTGCATGCCGCATGGTCAAGGGTGTATTAAACAGACTCCAAAGAATCTGTGACTCAGAAACAATGCATGCTCTCCCTCAAATATTCCTATGCCTTCATCCTGCCGTGGGCCAGTATCATCCTTTCTAGGACTCGTTATCGAGCGATCCCGCAGAGGACACTTACTGGACGCAGACACCACGGTCCCAGGCTAATGCTTAGGAAAGGATGCTAATCTTGATAAGTTGGCTGCCATTGATCCGTTTGAAGTTCCACTCACCTTTAGAAGGTCCGCTGCGGTTGCTCTCCCAGAGGACCCGGTGAAGTCCTCTGCGAGCAGTCCCATTGTCCCACGAATTGCAGATGTCTCGTCCAGTCTCAAGAGCGAGCAAGCTATCGAGCAAACAGCCTGAAGGTCCTTGCTCTTCTGCTGTCTCTTTGGTTCCCTAATCAGGCTGCTTCCGACGTCGGCTATCAAGCCTGTCAATAGCCAGGTCATTTTCAATGTATACCTTTCGGATGGCACTGACCCAGTTTGACTATTCCCTCTTGGTTGATTAAGACTGTGGAAGGTGTGACATTCCCATGGCAGATCCCAAGCACTTCATGCACGTACTTCAAAGCTTGCAGGATCTAGGGATGTCAGCGTAGTTCCTCTCTGAAAGGACCGTCTGAGTGTTTATATACCCCTTTTGAGATAGTTGCAATCTCCACCTCGCCCAAGCAAAATTTTGATGATGATTGTTGAATTTCCTCCAGGGAGATACCCCAGGTATCGTAAAGGAAAAAGACGCTCTGTTTTGCAATGAATACCTCTTTCAAGTTAACCAGATTCGGATGAGATGTTTCTTTGAAGTCCTCGGCCTGTAGGTCCCTTTCTTCGATCCGTTCTTGGTAGACATAGGCCAAGTTGGCGCCTTCAGAAAACTCGATAGCGCTGACGGGTCCCCAGGTCGGTGACAGGCCGACGAAGAAGCGGTTCAGCTGGTCGTAAGGGGACCCAGACTTCACGAAATCCGACTGAATGTCTAGAGTTTGGGGTAGTGTCATATGCCGCGGGACTCCTCGAACTGGCAATTCGATTGGAGATCCCAACTTAGGAGTCACTACCATTTTTCGAAATATCACTGAGTTTCATGGAATTATTTCTGACTTCACTTTGACAAGAAATTGAATGTTGTTCTTGACAGCACGATTAGACCCCGTACATCGCGCCTGTTTTTATCTAATGCTGGACGTGCCGCGCCGCTTTTGAGTCGTGTGGGGAGCAAAAACTGGCGTGGCACCTTGGGTCTAAGACGGCCCAGGTACCCATCGACCCGCTGCGGCTTCGACCCTCCGATTTTATTCCCTGCCAAAGATCCGCGAACGTGATTCGCAGGGTGTTTTCATACATTTATCTAGTATCACAGGCATGTGTATTTCCACTTACTCGTCAAAAATTTTAGAACAATGTGTATACGTAGTAAGATAGGACATTAAATTGCCTTCCATGCCCAACACAGCAAATTCATTTCAACGCTAATGAAGAGAATCTCATGAAACTGTCTACATGCTGTACTCGCTGGGAGTATCCGCTACGTTTAAATCCTTTCCCGTTTCCATAATTTTGAGCATATTCCTGCGGTTATATATATCTGCAGCTACACATTGCAAAGATTCAGTATGGGAACTATCGCAATGAGTATCCCCCCCGACTCCAAAACCGTTATCGATGGCGAATTCCGGCGCATGAAAAATATCAGGGAGATTAGGCTAAGCGATCATATCAAGGCTTTTGTAAACGATGCGCATTCCTCATTCGAGTCAAAGGGCGCTTTAAATCACCGAGGCCCCTGCAAGAGATCTCTCATCCACTACGCGGCCATGGGAGATTGCCCTGAGCTTCTTCGTTGTCTCCTAAGAACTGGTGCTGCGAAAGACGATCGCGACCAGAACAAGCGTACACCCCTCTCCTGGGCTGCAGAATATGGTGCCTTAGATTGTGTGAAGATTCTTTTGGAATACGGAGCGAAGATCAATTCCACGGATGATACGTATTCCACCCCTTTGTCGTGGTCAATTCATGCGAGTCCACCTACAGACCAAGCAAAAGCGACTGAAGTCTACCTGAGGAAGAACGGCGCGAAAGAGAAAGGCGCTAAGCGGCGTTGGATCTTGAGAAAGATTAGAATGTTCTGATAGACTTTGTATGTAGATCCAGTGGCTGTGATCTGCTATGAGACTACTCTTACTCCAGGCCAATAAACACAGTCGTTTGTGATTACATGAGTTGGTTTTCCTGTAATTCTCAAAGTTCATTTGATGTCAGGGCTAGTTGGAACTTCAACTTCTTTTTCCTTTTCCCTCCCCTAGGGAGCCTTAAGGAGATGCGTAGATCCTTTTCGATCCTTTCTAAAATTTGAGGGCATCAGAGACGGTGTCGAGAACACGTCCGGAGTTAATGGAGAGATCTTCTATCTATATTAAATTGTCTATCCGGCTTCAGAACTTAATCAGCAAAACGGAATTCCCAGCGCTGAAATCACTTGATAATACCCTCAAACGTTCCAGCAGAGCCCCTTTTGTAAGAATGAGCGGAACACGGCAAAGCCATTGCGCTGTGGTGTTGGCAAAGATCTTTCTTTGTCGATATCACAGGTCCCAGAGGGATTGCCTGATGAGGAATGCCTCACATTAAACTAATAAATATACCTGTAGTCACGTCTAATTTAGTGACGAAAACGTGGAATTGGCACTGCTTAGAATCTATGAATTTGTTTGAAATGACAGCTCGTCCTGACGAGACTGCCTGAACTCTGACTGAAACCCTATACATCGATGATGTTCGACTACACGGTATCAGATTCTTCTTTTTGTTGAGTGTGGTTGCTCTCCATCGTCAGTGTCACCAGGAGCGAATTCGAACCGTCGTTTCCCTGTATGAACGTCATATTTGGATATGTAATCCTCCAAAGCAGCCTTGCTAATGCCGCCTGCCTTGGTCTCCAGCTCTCCTGGTTTTGATTTTGCTCCAACGAAGAGCAATCGCGTCCGTTGAACTTCAGAGACTAAATCTGCCATGTTTGGAGAGACGACCTTTTCTTGATCGATGATGAGGAAATAATGGGCACGGGCAAGGTCGTTTAGGACGAGTCGCATTTCCATTTCTGAGTCGGCAAAAAACTTGTAGTACTCCCTTGAGTTGAACAGGTAGAAGACTACGACATTCGTGACATCTGACTGATACCACAATGGTAGTATCTCATCAATGGCGCTTCGATGGAGTGATATTGGGACTTTCCGAGATACTGGGGCTTTGCTATGCTCGTCTTCAAAACCTGCAGCTAAAGGTATGGACTGCTGTACACCGTCCATAATCTGAGTAGAGGGCCCTGGCTCTGGGTGCAGTTCAAGGTCTATTGGACTTGTCGCTAATGAATCACGGTTTTCAACGGAGTCGGTATGGACATCTGTATTATCTGTCAACGCTTGCGGTTCTTCTGGTAGCAAGGCCCCAGACGTAATGGCTCCTTCCGGAACTTCTTCAGCAAATGAGAGTTGGTTGGAAGCTCCGGAGGCGTCATGATTCAAGAGAGATCCAAGATGTTGTCGGCCGAAAAAACTGCAGAAGATGTCTCTTATGACAGCAAATGAGCTCGGATAAAGGAAAATCTCTCCCTCATCAGCAAACATATGTCGAAGAAAGAAGAACGACCGGTCACTTATGTACTCATCTTTGAGTGGTCGTCCGGCTCGGAAACTTGACCGTCGGCTATCCGTTTTCACAGAGAGCTCAGGGATTTTCTGATCTGACTGATGGGATCTGGGCCCGTCACCGAAGATTTGTCGAAACCGTTTTGACATATACAAGGTTTTCCGTGCAAGATCATTGTGAGAAGCACCTGTGAGCGTTTCGAAGGTATAATGAAAAGCCGGCAAAATCGAGTCGACTGCAGTAGAAACTTTCCTTGGAATTGTAAAACCCAATCTGCTGGCCGACTTGGCAAGCTCAGGCTCTCCTCGTAATTCAAACAAAGGCTGAACGTTCTTTACTTTTCTTGTTCTCCCCGTCCGAGGATTGATGAAGTGTCGAAAGGCTGTCAGCCATAATTGTAGCAAGCTAACCGATGCTATGGCTCTTTCTGCTTCATCTGCTGGCACTATACCGTTGATAGGGACAGTCTGGTACTCGCTGTCGGTTAATTGGATGTTGTAAGCCTGGGTACCTCCGTCCCAACAGTGTAGAGCCGTGCTATAAATTGATGTTTTAGGACCTACAGAAAATAGGTCCCTCATAGCCTTGGAGGGCCCGGAGAAGCATTTCACATCGTCGAAGAAGAGCGTCAGGGACAGGACCCTGCCAGGAATTTCAAGCAGGACCTGCAGTACCCTATCCCGCTCATCCACATCAGAAATATCCGGGAAGAGCGTGCCGTCGTTCATTAGACGCATAATATCTGAGCGGTCCTGGGTGGAGTATTTCGGCATCTTCCCCTCAATGAGTTCTACTGATAGCGTATCGGCCTGACCCGCTCTATCGGGCAATAGGAGTGACCAAATACGAATGATCTCCCGCAGGTAGTGAACCATTACCTGCATTTAACTCAGCGGGATTCCAGTCAAAGTAATGAATAAACAGGCTGGGAACATGGCGGCGTCTAACCTCATCACACCGAGGGGACACAACATGCTCTAGCTTGCGAAAAGTAAACGTTCTCCAAAGCCCCGGAAATGGAATCAGAGCCATGAACGATTCCCGTAACTCCGGGGTCCGAGCGACTCTTTGGACATACTGGAAATCCGAATCGGACGGCAGTCTGCTGCGCCAGAAAGTTGACTCCATACCAGAAAAGTCACGTAGAAGGGATCCGAAAATCTCCACATTAGATACTCCGTCAACATAGGAGAAACTTTCAGCGATTTCGGTTCGTAAATTGACAGGAAGACCTTCAGAGTAGCAATTAGGACTCGGACTCAAGCTAGCATGAGAGGACATACTGTCAACATATAGTTTTACAACCACCCACCTTCGGCCCGGCGGTAGTACGCGCCTAGCTGCCTCCAGGAGATCTCGTCCTCGTAAACACGCGAGGACGACGGCATCCTCCAGAGAAAGATGTGGTGGATCGATTGCATCAAGCAATGTGGAAGCATTTATGCCCGATTTTTCCAAACCCTTATTGAGCGTATTCATGTCGATCAGGGCGGTGATATAGTGCTCTGGATCGAGCAGAGAGCATTGGCCTCCCATCAAAGCTCTCTTGAACCTTAGCATGTTCTTCTTCCGATATTCTCCAGATAGGTGTCGGAGTTTTATCTTGGCAAAGCCACATAGGTAGTTTGTGAGACTATCAGCCGGGCTTTCTCCCTCCGGGGCAACTGTATTGGGCTGCATTACTCGTGATCGCAGCATCTGATGAGTGGTAAAAAGACAGAAAGGGGGAGTTGGCTGGCTTAAATATCCCTCGTCACTCTTTCCAGTCTCGGTGACTAAATTTATCTAGTTTCACCTGGTCTCACCCTTCGAATATTGTCAAGTATATTCATTCCTTTACAGAACGCCGTTGTTAAAGATTACCTGATCATTTTACGGACAAGCGACCCCGTCCAATACCCTATTCCCCACCCTTTCTATTTACTTCTTTCCTCTTTTACTCCTCGGTTGACCTAGAATTTTCGACTTCCTTCTATCACCCGTGGAGTGCATGGTGCATAACGTACAGCGTCGTAATAATGAGGTATGAGGCTCCATGTCTCATTATCGGGGTTGGCTTGAAGGAGGAAATCATGCTAGGAAATTTGGATTTAGTGATTTCCGCAAGATTTTTTAATAGAAGGGAAATCTACCTGTAGTAGAAGTTTGCAGGAAGCAGTATGTGCCTCCTCAATGAATCCCTTTGCCTGGTTTGAGACATTCTGTGGATTGTAGAGATGTGTTCTTTTGTCTTCCAGGATTGTCGCCGGCTCCTTCAGATGGACCACAAACAGGCCGACACTCTTGATGTCGTCTCTTCTGCCTTTAAGACTTTGGTGTTCCAGCAGACTTCTTCCAATGTTGGCTACCTGTAGCGTGAGCAACAAGTGGGAAAGGAGAAAGGCGGCAGACGCACCAATCTTAATGCAACCGTTTTCGGAGAGCAAAATGTGCTTGAGATCCATGTTTCCGTGACTCATTTGAAGAACCTCGTGGATATAGTCCAGCCCTTTCAGAATGCTTCTACAAACAGTTGCAATGTCTGCTTCACTGAATTGGACATGAGGTGTGGCGCATGTGACCGCCAGATCAATTGCAAATCCTTGGAATAGATAGACAAGGAAGTAGTAGCCCTGATCGAAAAATGCTTCTTGTAAATTGACCAAATACTGATCATCGGTGGCTCTCAGATTTTTGGATTTGTGTTGCCTTTCAGCCATAATTTTTTTGACCACCACCCTTGATTTATAACCAGCGCAATTCTCCAGGCCTAAACGGCCTATACCAGCCTGGTTAACCTCCCATGTCATGAGATATTTCCCTGAGGGGTGTTCCCTCTTCAGGAAATCACTGTTTTTGATAAGCTCTGGCGCAGACTGATTTTGAGTCTGACGATAGGGTTTAGTGATCTTGTTGGCCTTTTCTTTTCCGGAACCCTGAAGCTGCGCCAATCGTGCGTCGCTGACGTGCAGGGAGGACAGTTTTTCCTCTAATATGTCTTGTAAGGTGCCTTTATCATCTAGTGGATCAGAGGCTTTCTGAAGTCCGTGGGGCAACCTGGTAAACCGTTTCTGACGTTGATCCATCGTCAGAACTAAAGGAGCGGGATGATTTGAGATGAATGAAACAGCATATGTAACGGCTGTGGAAGGAAATAGTAGGATGAGGAGATATAGGGAGCCCATAGTCTAAATTTATGGCTGCTTCCATGAAAATAGCTGGAGCGGTGGATTTCGCGAAATTTATTTGGTGGGCCTGAGGAAAAGCAAATGGTCTTGGCCAAAGTACAAACCCTTCTCTACTCACCTAGAACCAGGGAAGTCTACAAGGCTGGACCTCGGGATATGTGGCTTAACTTAAGAGATCTCTGCAACTGTGAATTATGCCTCCGATAGCGTTCTCTACACAAGAATGTAATCAAACAAGAAGAATTATTCTATTGGACGTGTGAACTGTGTTTGAGAAGTACAGGTACAGTATTTGTGAGCTCTAACGGTCCAACTAAAGAACAGAGCATAGTGGGCTGTTATGTGCGAGACCATGACGAAGAATGCACGTTTTAGTGGATGTGGGCTATGGAGTGTTCCCGGTGACTCAGTGGCACAACTGCACGAAAATATTGATGACGATGTCTTGTAAGCGTCTTGCACTTGTATGAACAGAAGCTCCTTGCGGACCTGCGTATCCAGATGGAGTCAATCCTCCCTATGGAGTGAGGGCCCCGTTTGGACCAGAAGCTCCGTGCGGACCTACGTATCCAGATGGAGTCAATCCTCCCTATGGAGTGAGGGCCCCGTTTGGACCAGAAGCTCCGTGCGGACCTACGTATCCAGATGGAGTCAATCCTCCCTATGGAGTGAGGGCTCCGTTTGGACCAGAAGCTCCGTGCGGACCTACGTATCCAGATGGAGTCAATCCTCCCTATGGAGTGAGGGCTCCGTTTGGACCAGAAGCTCCGTGCGGACCTACGTATCCAGATGGAGTCAATCCTCCCTATGGAGTGAGGG